ATGACATTAGAAGCACAATCTATCTTATTGTGTTGCTCTTTTTCAGTGACTTTGTTTGAGTGCAGCTCTTCATTCATTCCAGAAGATTACCAAAAGCTGTGTTTGGCTGGTTTGATCAATAAAGTGAGAGGCAAAAGAATATTTTTATCTAAAATTGCCCTTTATCTGGCTGTCCCACACCTAGAAGCTTCGCCAGCTTCTCAGTGTCTTGACAAGCTGGTGCATTTCTTATAAACAAATTATATATTTATTTGTAAATACAAGAGCCTTATCTAGGTATTCATATTAAGATGAACTCTCTGTGCAGGATATTGTAGAAAATCTTGCCTATTTGATACAATACAAATTGTACAGAAATATGATATTTTATCTTGTTTGTTAGAAGTATGATGTGTTAATTTTGTGATTCAGTTGGGTGAAGCAGTTCATAAATGCATAGCAAAATTAATTTATATTACTACAAATATTAATGCTATCATGAACTGCAAGCTACTCTGATTTCCTTTGAACCATACTCTAGCTGTTGTGTAAGTAATATTTGAAATTGGTGTGTATTTTAGTCTTAAATTTATTGTAGTTTACAATTCTTCACATTTGGCACAAGGGATTGACTAGTAGGCCACTTCTAGATTTCCACTGGAAGGATCTTCTTACTGAGAGATCAAAGAATGATTATTTTAAACAATATATTTTAATTTGAACATCAGCTAAGTATTTGAAATAGCCCAAATGCAAGTTAAACTTCTTAAGAAGGCCTACCATAGCTCTTAAAAATACAAAGAAAACCTTCACTGTTTTTCACTATAGCTCTTTAAGATTAAGAAGACTGAAGCTCCAGAGACAAATGACTTCCAAAGCATGACCAGAAAGTACACACACTTTTGACTTATATTTATATAAAATAAAATATATAGTCTGAAATAATCAGTGTCTTTATTGCCTCAGTAGGACATTCCTTCCAGTAGAAGGTCTGCTCATGCACTGTCACACTACTGCGTAAATCATGAATATCAGTCTTGTCTATCATTCTTTTGCTGTCTCAAAATATGCCAGTAAGAGCTTAACCTTTAAAATTGCTTACCACTGTTGAGAAAAGATTCCAGAAGTCTTCCCTCAATTTGTAATGATGATAACTGTTAATTTTCCTGACTATAAACTTCAAGTATATGAAAAAATACATGTTCAACCAACAAATCTTAACCACTGTAATGAAAAAAATGGCACAAAATCAATATTTCCATTGGCCTTGTCAATAAAGGTCGTAATGAAGGGCTGAAACAATGTCTGCACCCATTTTTATTTACCATCTCCTATCTTGGTGTACTGATACAGAACCAGCATAAAATTTGGCTTGATACCAGATCTCTAACAAACAAAAGTAATGCTTCAAATCACAATTATATAAGATATAAGTTAAAAAGAAGCAATTAAAATGCAATTCCAGTACCATTCTCTCTACTCAAAATGTCTCTGCCTAATGCAATGTAGAATATGAACCTAATTTAAAAACTTAATTTGATAAATTCCAAACAAATATTTTTTTTCACTAAAACCTGCTGGCATGGCTGCCATTCTATCATTCACTTTTGTGTCTTCAGCATCTTTTGAGAAAAACAACAACTTGGTGGCAAATCAGTATTCCTAGAATGTTCCAGACTGAGTCATTGCTGTCAACAACTAGTGGTGGCATGCGTTACTATATTTGGAAAGTAAAATTAAGCAGTAATTCAAATTAATCGGTGTATTTAATGTATGAAAGTATTCCAAGTATGATCCATAATGCATTTAATTGGGAATCACTCTGTGTAATTTCCTGTGAAAACAGAGTCCATGGTTTAGAAGGCTGTTATTTCTTTATTTTTAATGAAGCTTTGAGTCCTTTTCAGAGATATTTTCAGTATGGCAATGCTTCGGAAATAGTTCCTTTCGAGGAAAGTTCATAATGACCAATTCAAGCCTCTGCTCTTAACTATGCTCAAGTGAACATCTCCTTAAAAAGAGCACATTGTACAAATCAGCTGCACTGAAGTAAGGTCAGTCACCTTTCCAGAGTACTCCTAGTCACCAGGTTACAAACCCAAGACAAACCCCCTGATAACAAATACTGCATAGTTAATTCATCAAGAGCTCCATTCAAATTCAAACATAACAAACTGCTTTTAAGACATGTAAGGCAAGTAGCAACCATTGTTTTCCTCTGCATTTTCTCTCTAATATCTGTATCTCTGCTTCCTGTAGGTGGTCTTCAGAAGTTCCTCACGGACACTGTTCAAGCTACATCCAAGAAAAGCTACATCAAAAGCAAGGAAACAAAAGGGTGTGAGATGTGTCACTCCTCCTTTATGGAAGAGCTGCACTAGTGGACACATTCCTATCGAGCCCTCCTCTTTTCTGAAAATTTTTCAAAACTATTTTCCCCTTGGTTGGGCTTTACATTCAAAATGTTGAGTACGAATAACATTCATCGCAGCAACAAGACTTCATTTTTCTTTAGAAACCTTCAGTCATTTTGGTTTATGGACCCTCCAAAGGCCAATACCAGAATACAAAAATACAAAGGAGTGATCCAAACTTTTAAATGCTTATCCAAAGTATTTAAACAGTTAAGTGTTGCAACATGGAAAAGTCAACACAATCTCTGATTAATAGAACTGAGAATATATATATATATATATATATGTATGTATATATATATATATATATATATATTTTTTTTTTTTTTTTTTCCAGGAAAAACTGTTGAGACATTAAAAAAATCTGATGCATCCATCCTATTATATTGCTCTAATTCACTTTGAACTTAGCATCAAAATGAGTATATTTTATTAGAGCAAAGAAAAAAAAAAATGCAGTTACACAAAATCAGTGACACTGCATTCATGTGCACTGCTAATCAAACCAAAGGTGCTTGCATATCCTATGCAAAATTTGCAGTGGAGTACCGTTCTCAGAAATGAAAGTCATAAACATATAAAGAAATGGTAATATCCTTGAGTTATTCGTAAGTTGCCTACAAGCAGAAAATGAGACAGAGTAAATTGGATAAATTATTCATTGTAAATTAGTTTTTCATCTCTGGGATTTATTGTGAAAGAACAACAATTACACATGACATTTGTTGCTGGTCAACAAATAAACTCACTTGGTTTTAGCATCAAGACAGATAAATAGTTCAATTCCTATTTAGGAAGAAAAATGGTGTTTATTACTACATTCAAAATTAAAAATATTTTTCCCTAAAATATTATTAACAAATTCACACTGAACTCTTCCTTCCACCTGTACACCAACAGTTTTAAATATTATCTCAGTTCACAAGATAACAGAATGTATTTGGATTATGTTCATTAGTCTCTCCAAATTGGTAAGAGAGAGATTTTCATTGCAAACTGTTGGATGACGGCAAATCTGGGAAAGCCCGTATATTCTCAGCTGTGAAATACAGATGTTGAAAGGATGCAGGAGACTGAAGGATCTCCAAAACATATGATTTTGCTCTACAAAAAAAATGTTTACAGTTACTTAAATAGGTAAAATAAAAGCACAAATGTGTTTGGTTTCATTGCAGTACTCTATTATAAATTAAAATCACTTTTGTGTGCATATGATGTGTTTCTGAGAGCAAAAGCAGTGTAGGATTGCCTGAATATTTTCCTGATCTTCTGTAATCCAGCTGCCTCAATTTCTTCTTTCTTTATATTTGCCAAACAGGAAATGGCTAATAAATGTTTCCTAAAATCTGTTTAATATCTTAGGACATTTACCAGTAGTGTAGATGAAAAGAAGATTTGCTTCATTTATAATTTTAATCTTAAATTACAAAAACCCTGTTTTGAAATTGTCACTTGTGGATTAGGAAAAGAACTCTGCACAGAACAGGAAGATTTCAGATATTATGCAAAAAACAGATATACTATATCTGTCTATCTATATTATCCATAAATGTGGAATATACTTTTTTTTAATACTATTTTTTCTTTTTTCTTTTATTTTTTCAAGCAGGGCTTTATACTCATTTAAAAATAGAAACTGTGTTGAGGTAAATAATAGTAGGGACTTAGTTTCCCTCCTCTTTTTTTTGCAGCTGTTGCTCAGTTTTGGCTTTTGGCATTGACAGAAAGTGTGCCCTTGATTTGAAATGGCCATGATCTAACCTCTACTCTTCAAATACAGACGGTTGAGTAAAGCTTTTCCAGAAGGCCTCTAATTAAATAAAACTGAATCTTCTCAACAAAATTCTATCTTCTCAATGGTTCTCCCAGTGATAGAATTAAAGTGTGGATGGGTTGTTCATCTTTCTTACCTTTGGATTTGTTACAGCTCAGAAAAGTCAGATTTTATATATGACGGAATTTTTTCTTCTACTTGAATATCTGTTGTTATGGTGATAGTTCCAGGAGGGAACATTAATGAGGATGACTTGAAAGCTTTGATGTTTACAGCATGATTACTTATAACACCTCATAAGAAAAGGTGACAGCTACTACTATTCCTTGCTAAATATGCATAATTGTATCAATTTAAATGAAAAATACCTGTATTTCTATTTGTTAGGCATCTGTAACACAACTATGAATACAAGTGAAAAATCCATATATACTTATGTAATAAGAATTCAGAAGAATAAAGAAATCTTATTTTCTCAGAAGGGATATTATTTGTTATTCCTAAGAACTTCACCTACAATAAACAGTATTTTTCAACTACAGCAGTCTTCAGACTACGTTTATAGCCTGAGTTGCTCTTTTGCGATATTCTGAGAGCTAACTAGCACAATCTTCTCATATCCAAAACTAAGCTGTGAAAAGCTCTGTGAACTCACATCACCCAAACCATAATTCTGCTGCCACATTATATCACCTAGACTGTGATTCATCAGCAGGAGGTGTACGCAGTAGAGACAAAGAGCTTATTTGACTAGATTCTTCGGCCTTAGAGGTGCTGGTAGCTCAGCACAGCAGTTTGGCTCACATCTGTTAATGGTGCATGCAATTACTTACATATCCTTCATATGCCTCATGTGCAGGTGGTGGGGGTGGTCTGTAGCCTGGTACCGCTGGGGCCCCCCTTGCTCGAGGTGTGGGAACACCTCTTGCTACAGGTGGGACGGGGAGAGCTCCACGAGTCACTGGTGCTCCTCTGGGTGCTTGGGCACCTCGTCCGGGGAGGGGCGGAGGAATCGCACCCCCACGGCCCCTGTGGGAGCAGAAAGAAGTGAATGCACCGGGGTGTACGTTAAGGGAGGACAGGCAAATGCTACCCCACTATAAAGGCTCTTGTATTTTTACTGCTATTTAAAGCGTTGTGCTACTGTGGGTTTTGGCAGCTATGATGTCAAGCTCTTTTAGGCAGTATCTCATGCAGAACTTCTGTTATGGAAAGACATTATTTCTAAGCTACTCAGTGCTTTTTACATCTGATCCTTCTCCTTCACTTGTACTACTGAAATCCTGGAGTATTGTGATTCAATTTGCAGAGTTACTCTGAAGTAGTTCCAAAACAAGAAAAAATGGAGATTTTTTTCCATTGCTTCCAAAATACAAAAGCAGTCATCACTGTCAGTTTCATGCTTATTGGTGGATGGGAGAATTTGTCTGGCAGAAGATGATGCTGGATAGCAGAAAAGGGCAAGGCAAAGCATGGAGTATAAAAGGAGAGTAAGAACTTTCACTCCTGTTCAGCACAAGGAAAGGATAGAGTAAGATTCGGCCTTCCCCAGTTTACAGAGAGAGCAGTGCATATAGACAAGCAGAGAAAGGTTTAGTTTAGCATTCTGCTCCTTATTTACGCTATATCCAAAACACTGGTATGTCAGAACCAGCAGCTGATCTTGGTTAAAAAGAGGTTCTGGTATCCAGATTTGCCAAACTAGAAGGAGGATATATCAGAGAAACAATCTATGATTTTCCTTTCAGTATATAATTTTATATATAAAAATAGCGTTGTAGCTGAGGATTTGCTCTACCGAACAGTTCTACAGTTCTATTATATTCTTTCTACTGTAGTAGCTTTATGGAAATAAATAGGAGGCATTACTTTTAGAGTAACTTATTTAACTTAGATATTCCAGGTCCTTTTTTTTTTTTTCCCTTACTCCTTTTTTAACATTCTGCGATTTCTTACTGTTAAGTAAGGGAAGTATCCAACATCCTAGTTTCTGTCCTATTGCTCCAGTCAGTAGTGTTCAACAAGAATGGAAGCCAGCACTCCACTGATTATACTTACACTCATTTAAAACTGCCTGTTACAATGATGTTGTGAACATCACCATCAAGTCCCTCACAGATCTTAGTAGCAAGGAAATCTAACTTCTGAGCCTCAGAACACTTCCATTAGAAGACGGTCATGAATGTCTAGTGTATAATGTCTTGGGCATGTGTAAGATATTACAGATTAAAAAAAAAATATATGTCAAGAACAGAGGGAAAACACTTTCCAGGAAGGAAAAAGTGGCACAAGATCAGCCAGTTCAATTACCAAAGAGCAACTTCTCTGTGAGCACAATCAAGGAAGCTCTGTATTGCATTCCCTCTAGAAGTGTTTTTCTTAGCACCACTTGCCAAGCCTATGAGTAGCCTGATAAATACCTTAGGCAACAAATTTTTAAGGGTTCACATTCAAAAATGAGCCATAAGGATTACAGGAAGATTATATACTGTCTTCATGAACATGCAGAGGTATCTGTTGACAATACACACACACACATACACAAAAAAATACTTGCAGGAATTCAGGAAACATTCATATACCAAAAGTTTTAGATGATATCAGTGAAATTCATAAAGAAATGATAACATATACCACACATAGAATACAATTTAATATTTAGACTATAGCCTAGTATTATTCATATACTATGCCAAAAATAAGTAATGAGTTGGCAAATAAGCAGCTATCCAGACTATGTAGCCTTCTCTGTCTACAGCACAGAATGCCATTTTATTGACCTATGATTTTATGACACCAACTATTCTGCTTCTGCATCAGCATTACAATGTTTTCTCCCAGACATATCCTTCCACTAGCTTCATAATCTGTTCTGATTTGCAGTCTGTTACTTGCAACCCCCCCCCTTATGACCTGTAAATTACAGATTCGAGAGCCTGGAACAACGTAGATAGCACAAATTCTCAGAAGAAAAACAGTCAGTTTGATTTACTGACTGTAATGTCTACAATTATTATTTTTAACTGCTTATTTTGCCATTGTTTACACTTTCTAAAACTATTCACATAATAGATTAGCTACCACACCTTGAAGGAGCTGCAGGTGGCACACGGATCCCTCTTCCTCGAATACCCCGTCCACGTGCTGAGTCCTCGGAACCATTCAAATATGACAGCTCTCTCAGTTGCTCCTGACGAATTTCATCATTATAATCCTGAAATGCAAAAGATGAAACTTACTGAAATGTTGTATTTTGACTGAGCTGCCAAACAACTTAAAACAGAAATTAAAGAAATTGCACAGATGCTCTTTGGATGAATTGCCTTGCATAAATCACCTGTAGGCTGCAATATTATTTTTGTTATTCACATTGTATTCATATCAAGTGATACAAAATTGATGTATTTGTGGACTGGATAAGTATCAATAATATATGGTCACACAAATTTATGCGTATACTTAAGATGGCTAAAAACAAGATGCACACACAAAATTGAAAACAAAAGGCACACAAGGTGTAAACATGAAGTCTATTTGCAAACAAAATGCAAACAGACTTTCACATACAGAAGGTACAAATCTGAAACAGCATGAAATAAGAACAAAAAAACCCATTTTATAAATACTTGGTATATTTTTCTGGCAGAGAGCATTGTCTACTTTTATGTACTCCAAGCACATATTTCTCATAACACTGCACTCTGGCATAGAAAATTGTTCACTGCATGCTTTTGATTGAGTGGTTTCACAAAAACATACCAATGATTATAGCATTATGAAATTAAACTCTACAGTCATATCATTTACTGAATTTTATCATCATTGATTGCTGCCTTCAGTTATTCCGTATATCTATTAAAGAACTTTTGAAAGGAGCTCTCTTTAGGAGCAACAAGGCAATGTTTACTGTATAAAATTGTTCAATTATATATAGAATAGGCCCATTCTAAGTCTGCAGGGTATCTACAGCACTGCAAGTTTCTGCTAGCTCAGTCAACAGAACATTGGATGATTGTTCTTTTCTTACTGATTCAAAACATATAATATTGGGTAATTTAAACTGATTTTACAGCCTTTGTCTTAATCAGAATTCCCTTTTTCTTTAGTTTCTTTTGCTTTCAGCTGAACACGGTAATAAGGGCTCACTGCAGTAGCCATCTCTCTGTCAGGAAAACTCTGCAACAGTTAACTAGCGTTTCTGAACAGAAAGTATAGATTTTCAGCCCTTCAAATTCTACATCCTTCAACAGGAAACTGTCATGGACTAACATTCAAGAATCAAAAAATGCTGCAGTACCTGCTTCTTCTCCAATGGGCAACTGTCTAGGTTTAGTTACAAGTAACACTTCTTTCTAGTCAAGTTAGACCAAACGAACTATGAGACAGGACCTGGATTTCACCATTTCTAATCCTTACCAAATTTCTGAAGTCAGCTTTCTTTGCCAGCAAAATGGGCTTAAGAAATTTGCAGATACTAACAGTAAATAACTGACTCACTGAAAATGATAGAATCATGGAATCATACAATATCCTTAGCTATGTGAGGGGACTCACACAGATCTTTCAGTCCAACCCCTGGCTCCACACACTGTTGGAAGAAAAGCACTAAAAGCACTAAAGCACTGTTGGAAGAAAGTTACTGCAAACCTTGAATAGGCTATACAGATTCAAGACTCAACTAGACAGATATAACTGCCTTGATTTTCCGTTTACTGTTGGCAGTAGAAATGCTTGAAGAGAAATACTGAAGAAGACCTTCAATTGACCCTTCCGATAGACACTTCCATGACCCTCTGAAGTTCTCATCTGTATCTGTAGGGTATTGTTTTTAGATTCCTTTGTTCAAAAGGAGCCATTGTTGGAAGAGATGACTTTAGGTAAATGTGATCTGTGAAACAAAACAACTAATGCTAGAAAACAAAATCCAACTCTTGCGTGGAGTATTGGAGAGGCTGGTGACCCGAGGGAGGTTTGAGTGATGAGGGAGAAACAGGAGAGGCAGTTTTCAAACAGTTTTGCCACTATTTTTTGTTTGATCTAGGGAATACATCCTGAAGAGATCCCAATAAAGAGCTAAGCCTCTTTTTTTTTCTAAATTACTGAATCAGAAGCCTGGGCAATCTGTTTAAAGATATGATGCTGACCTTTTTGTGCTCTTAGAGAGTGTAGGCCTGGTGATAATTTTACTTCTACATTTCTAAATTTTTACGGAGTGCAGCTGGAATAAAGTCTAATAATGCAATTCAGAAGAGTACCATATTTATACAAAACAACATGCGACATTTGCAGCAGAGTCATAATTGTAAGTAAATCCCCAATTTGCTAGTAAACCAGATGATAGCTTTTAGTTCACAGCAATCGCCAAAACTTTTTGCACATTTTTTCTATCATTTTAACATGGTAATGAGACAAAGACATCTTCGTAAATAAATGTGTTCTGTAAAACTCAAAGGGAAAGAAACAGATAGAATAAATCAAATCACATTTACAGCAATAAATAAATGTACAATTTCCTGTGACTGGCTTAATGTCATCTGCTATTCATTCATACTGGCTTTGCAAGGATTATAATTTCAACCTTGCTGATTGAGTTTGCCCTTCAGATTCCACAGCAGTGCTCAGAGTGAATTTCATTAATAATGCAAGTAAATTTTGTTAGAAAAAAGATGGGGGG